GGGGGGGGGCGCAGGGGATACAGTCAGGGGCTGCAGCGACCTTAAGCTGAGGCAGATAAACACTAACGACCAGAACGGAAGAGAACGGAACCCAGTGGGGTCCAGCAAAGTGTCAAAGGGGCAAAGCCAGCCTGGTCAGGCTCTGATCAGAAGCGACGGCCCCTCCTGCTGTGGGGGTGTGAACTCCCTCCCATTTGGTTCTGAACTCTGCCCACCCAGCTGGACTGATTGTCCCTGGCTCTAAGCAAGAGGCAAGGCGTTCTGTGAGGTGGGAGGGCCAGAGGCCAAGGCTAAGGCACCTAAGGCGTGTGGACAAGCCCATCCCCTGCCCACTGGGCCACTGCCACTCCTGGTAACCGTTCATCTGCAGCACCAAGGTGGGCAGCAGAGGAATTGGAAATAACACAAGGTGTAAATGTTTGGAGGTTTTTTACAAAAACAGACGATCCAGACACCAAAAAAGAATGGAATGAGAACTTGAATGAGCCCTAGCACCTAAGGCAGGTGTTCTTGGAGTCCCCGATTCCCTCTATAGGCCTTTTCTGAGCACAGCCAAGCTGGGGAGACCCAGGTCCTCGCCTCTGGGCACGCCTGGTGCTCCCTGCTGAGCAGAGTTGATCCTAATGTCTTTGCTCTGGGGCCAGGACTCTCACTCAACTGTGGATCATTTTCTTGTTTGCAGCAAACAAATCTCTGCATTTCTGTCCCATTCCAGATGCTAAGAGGTCTTCACCAGCTGTGTGCCGGGAGGTTTGCTGTGACCTCTTTAGGGGAGGCTGTTTCTGTCAGGAGATGTCCTACTGATAGGGAACCTTGAATCCTAAGGGGATTTCCCCCCCTCTTGCTAACTAACTTTCATAAAGAACTGTTTTCAAAGGAAACCAAAATGAGCATTTTAGACTCAATCCTCAAAATGACTATTCCTTTCCTGATACAGAATTTGGCTTTTGAGAGTCAAACAAACAGGATAGCACAGCATGGTTTTGGTTTTAATCCAGAGCCATCTTACTGGGTCCGGAAATCATTTCAGTTTTGCAGAATTCTGGCAGCACCCAAGGGAAGTCACTTGTGGGTAAGCCGGGGGTGTCCTTGCCGGCCTCTAAGGTCACATGGGTTACTCCCTGAGGTTCTCAGTGGTGGTGACTTGCAGAGATTGCTTTCTGGAATGAGAGGAAGGATTGGTGGAGGAGCTATGGATGCTTCTTAGAATCCTTTTTCTTTTAAATGTAAATGATTCCCCAGGCCTCAGGCTGCCACTTCCCCCAACCAACCGCCAAAAAGCCTCAATCTTTTTTTTTTTTTTTTTTTGGTGCCAGGGACCAAATGGTCATCCTTGTCCATGCCCAGCACACACTCCACCTCTGAGCTCTGCCCCTAGCTGAGGCTGAATCTGAAAGCCTTCACCTTCCAGGAGGAAACAGCATGTGGGTCATCTACTCTCTGAGCATCTTTCCTCCAAAAACGCAGGCTGGGATGTGAGCAAACCAGGCCCTCTCCCTACCCACCCTCACTTCTAGCCACCCCAAGACCGAGGGCATTAGGTGAAAATACCGGGAAAGAGAGTGCGGTCCTCAGGGTTCCCCTGGACGCCTCTGCCTTGGCACTGGAGGAGGGGACATGTAGTTTATGTGACTGACCAGCAGGGGGAGGACTCTGGATCTGGCCTGTGCTAAAACTTAAAACACAGTCCACATGAAGGGCGGACAGTCCACAGAGAGGAAACCCAGGGCCCCTGTGGTGGCGCTGGCCTGTACTCCCAGTTATTCAGAGGCTGAGGCAGGAGGATCACAAGTTTGTAGCCAGCCTGGGTAACTTAGGGAGTCTCTGTCTCAAAATAAAAAGGCCCGGGAGGTAGCTCAGTGTAGAGTGCTTATGGAGCATGTCCAAGGCCCTGGGTTCAAGCCCAGTAATGCAAAACAAGAGAGAATCCAGGAAGCACCCAGGGGACTGTCCCTGAGTGGCTGTGCTGGGCTGTGCTCATTTGTGGCAGTCACAGGTGACCTCAGGGGACCTGGTTAAAGGGAACTGCCCCTCTGCTGACCAGCAGTGTTATCCAAGAAAAGCTGGGCTCTTCAGGGGATCCCAACACCTGACAAGCCAGGAATCTGCCCTGTGATGTCAGGGCAGGGGACACACCTCTGGGTCCCTCAAACTGTAAACAGTGCTATATGGCTTCAGAACACCGAGAGCCCCCGGCTCCGAGGCACCTGACAGGGTCCCGCCTCACTGGCTCCGAGTTTCATGCTGGGCTCACACAGATGAATCCCAGGTGCACCAGGACACAGGCCCGGGAAGGTGTTGCCTGAGGCTCAGGAGGTAGAAAGGCTGAGCTGGTGGCTGCTCGATCACCAGGTCAAGAGCTTCACCCACGGGGGCTTCAGGTGCAGCAGAAATGCACCCTGTCCCTGTAGTGGGATGCACAAAGCTGCCTGTTCCCGGATAGGGACACAGTGCAAGGACAAGCTAACGCTCAGGTGCTGGGAGGCTCCTCTGGGGTCTGTCTGGGTTCCTGAGCGTCTCTGGTCTTGGAGGGCACAGAAGCCCCCGGAGGGCGGGCTGGGCTCTGGGTGGAGGGCTGGGAGCAGCAGCAGCAGCAAAGGGAGACGAGCCGCGTGCGGACCGCACGGGTGCAGAGCACGAACATGATGCAGTTGGCTCCCCCCTGGAAGGTGTTGCCGATTCCCTGTTGGGAGGAAAGAAGGGGCCTGAGCACAGTCTGCAGGCAGTCGCAGGGCCACCACGTGGGAACTGCCTGGACCCAGGATCTTTCCTGCCCTCCCTGCCCTGGGTGCTCAGCCACATTCCGGGCGGGCTGGACTGGTCAGCCTGGCGTAGACCGTGTTCAGGCCTTCCGGGTCGGGAAGAAGCAGGATTGTCAGCTCTGCGGGGGCATCTCTAGGTTGCTGAGAGCACCCAGAAGCCCCAAGCTCCCACTTCCCTGTCCTAGGCCGCTGCCCACCTGGGGCAGGGAAGGAGAGGGAGGGAGCCTGCTCCCTGCAGCCCCTCCTTGGTTGCAGCCCTAAAACTGGGACACAGGGACTCTTCTGTGGGACAGGGGATCTGGCAGCAGGGTGGAGAGGGCAGACCTACATGCAGAACGACCAGCACTGGTATCCGCACGGCCGGGGAGCCACAGAGGGTCAGGACGAAACGCACAGTGCTCCAGACGCGGAGGCAGATGAAGATGAGGGGGATGAGGACCAGCTTCTTGTCGGCCACGGAGGAGGAGCGGCGCTGCAGCTGGTGTGTGTCGCAGAGGATGGGCCGGTACTCCGAGAGCGCCTCCCGCTGCACAGGGGACAAGAGCAGACCTGACCAAACGGCTCTCTGGCCACTTCCGCCCACAGCTGCCCCGTCTTCCTGGGCACCTACGCTAACTAGCCAGGAAGGCAGGAGCAGGGCCTCTGGGGCCTCCTGGGCCTGATGCTCCGGAGCCTCTGACCTGGTCCAACCTGGACCCTTTTCCAAACCCTCGACTTGCAGACCACTGCCCACGCCCCATCTGCACAGGGGTGTCCCAAAGACGCCAAAACCCCTCAGGCCTCAGAGGGACGCCTGGCCTTGACCCTCGTGTGCTCGCTCATCTGCCGGGGGAAGCTCCATCTTCCTCCATTCCTGGGCCAGACACGAGGGCATCTCCCTTCACTCTTCTCTCTCCCCCGGTTTCCGCCCTCAGGTAGGTCCTGCACACCCTCCTGCCCACCACCACACAGGCCCCGCCCCAGCACCATCGCCACTTCTCCAGGTCCCCCCTCTCCTCCGGCCACCTCCCCACCTGCAGTCCCTTCTCAACACAGAAGCAGAGGGCTCCCTAAAAGCCCAGGTGGGTGGGTGAGTGCTCATTCCCACGCCTGTCCCCTAGTTCCCGCCGCCCCAGCCACAGGGGCCTCTACTGTTCTCCCAGCAGGACTAAGCCCTGGCTTGGTGCCGGCCGCTGGCCGTTGCCTGTGTCTGGAATGCTTTCCCCTCTTGGTTTGTGTGGTCACTCCCTTGCTGCCACCGCCGCCTCCCCTCCTTCTTCTAATCTGGGGATTGGATCCAGGGGTGCTCAACCACTGAGCCACACCCAGACCTTTTTATTTTTTATTTTGAGACATGTCTTGCCTGGAACTTGCCAACCTCCTGCCTCAGCCTCCTGGGTCGCTCCCTCACCCTCTCCAAGCCTCTGCTCCCAGGTCACCTGCTGGACGAGGCTGACACACTGCACAGCTGTTTCCCAACTGCCCCCTCCCTACATCCGGCCCTTGGCTGTTGTCTGTTCTAGCTCCTGTCATCTCCATCCTCTGACATCCGCCACCCTTGTTTTCAACTTGTTCCCACTACTGCACCCCACTTCTAGAACACAAGACTCCCCCAGCACAGGACTATCGTGTCCCTACCCACCCACCACAGGAAGGGCAGCTGGAACCCGCCTTGGCTTCCCGACTCCTGGGAACGTCTTTCACGAGAGGGAGGAGGCTCTTTCCAGATCAAAACCCAATTTGTAAAAATAGGTGAGCCAACACAGAACAGAGACGTGCACCGAACCTTAGCCGAGCCTGTCTGGGACCCCAAAGGCCCAGGTGCGGGGAGCAATGCACACCTGGGCCTCCCTGAGCACCCAGGTGTCCGGGCTCACCTGTGCAGAGCACCTGGCCCCTTGCAGCCTTGGTGGCAGCCCAGAGATCTTCCAGCCCCACCCTTTGGAGCTGCAGGTTTGGGGGAACTTCCTATGAGAGGACAGAGGGGTCATGGGCTGGAGGGCTGGGCCCAGACCGGCTGTGGGTTGGCTCCTCTTCAGAACACAGCTGCTCCCTGCCCACTTATTTTTAGCTGTCCTGCTAGCCCCAGGGAGAGAACAACGTGTGCAGTCTCACCTCCTTGCCCACTTTATTCCTTTTTATTGGAAAAGACTTGCCAAGTTGTAAAAAGAGAACCCATTGTCACACGCAGGAGTCAGCCTGGCAGGCACGGGGTCCCCAGGCTTCCTGCTCTGCTGCAGAAAGGGTGAGAGTCAGCGGGACACACACAGAAGGGCTTCTCCAGAAGGCGGAGCCTGGGGACCTCTACTGGGAGCCCTGGGCCTTCCCAGGAGAGTGGGAGAGAGAAGGTGGGGATGGAGAGGACCCAGCCACAGGCCTGCAGGAGGACAAAAGCCACTTCAGAGCCACTGCTCGATCTCGCCCCTCCAGCAAGGACTCCAGCAGAGCCAGAGAGGGCTGCACAGCTGGGCGGCCAGCGACATTTGTGTGTAAAGAGCCACAAGAGAAGACAGAGGGGGACTACAGGGGAAGAATTAGGTGGCCCAAGGTCACAGCTGCCGGAAGCATGCCAACTCAGAAGTGGCTGCTTAGTCAACAGGGTGACCTGGGTATGTGTGTGGCTCAGTGACCTAAGTGTGAGGCTTGGGTTCAATTCCATACAGGGCCCAGACTGACACAAAAAGAAACCAAACAATCAATCCCAGAATGACTTAAAAGTCGGGACACTCCCTCCTACAGCCAGGCCAGAAGGACGCGGACTCTCACCAGCACCCTGGCGGCAGGAGGCCTGAACTGGGAGGATTTCTTGAAATCTACCTTGCTGCTCTGGCCACGCGTCATATTTGCCTTTTACCTTAATTATTGAAGCCTCTTCCTCTCTGGAGGGAGGCAGGATCCATGTTTTCATCCTCATTATCAACCACCTTTCTGGCCAGCCCTCCCTACTGATTTATAAATTCCTGCAAAGCCGACCACTTTGACACTGTTCTGATCTCTGAGGGTGATGAGGAGGGTTATTTGCATCACTGATCACGCAATCCGCCGTCCTCCCTTCCCGGGGCCAGTTCCACTGGGACATATCCTCAACTTGTGTCTAAATTCCTAAGTGCAAGGCCGGCTGTCCACACGGGGGCAGTGGAGGGCTGTGGCTGAGGATGGGGCTCCAGGCTCCTTCTGCTGATTTCAGCTCAGTCCTTGGGAGCCCCAGACTTTCCGGCAGGCCCCTTAACTCTGCTTCCCACCTAATGAAGGAGGAACAACGGGACCGGCTCCTGACAGGGCCCAGACGCACACACCACCTGATACCCTCCTGTAACAAAGAGCATGGCCCCGGGCTGGATACGTGGCCAGCATGTGGTCCCTCCAGCCTCAAACTAGTTCTGTCCCCAGAGATGCCTCCTGTCCCCCAAGGGCCGTCACAGTGGGCACCTACCGCTCTGTTGATGTGCTTCCTGACCAGGAGGTACAGCAGGGGCAGCAGGATGTACGCCAGCATCTCCCACAGCTTCCCGGTCAAGAGCATCCACAGCAGGCGGTCCTCGGCCTCCAGGTCGATCCAGCACCAGCCCACAGACACGTCGGAGGCATCATAGCCGATCTTCTTTAGGGAGACAGCTGCCACTGTGATGGTCAGCGGGACACCCCAGCTGAGGAGTAACAAGGAAGAGGAGGCCCGGAGGTCAGGCCAGGCGCCCAGCGACGTCAGCATGGGCAGAGATGCCCGGGGAGGCTCTTTTGGGGAGGAGAGCGTTCCCCCAGGCCTAGAGCAGACAGTGTCCTGGGAAATAAGAAGGGGCAGGGGTTGCTCAGGGAGCCTGGCTCCAACCTAGCATGCCAGGCCTCCTAAGAGATTAATGCTAGGACATGGCGGGCTCCCACATGCCTGGCTCCTTCCAGAGGGGCCTAGGCACCAGGGTGCCAGTCCAGCCTGGGTGTCCGGGCTGTGCATGCATGCCATCAGCAGGCAGCCCCCAGCCAGCCGTGGTATACCCTTGGGTATACAGAGGGTGCATACATGGGTGAGGTGGGTGCTGGGCAGGCCGATTTCAGGGCCTAGAAGGGGGATGTGAGCATATCCTCTCTAAAGCATAAAGCCACACAGCCCCCAAACCCAAGGTCAATGCCCCGCTTAACCTTCTGGAGCACGTCCCCACAGCAGCACAGCTGGGATCAGGCCCAAGTCCCTTCCCCAAGTTCTCTGCCCAGCTCCTTACAAAGCAGCTTAAGTAGATCAGGGACACAACCAAAAGCCGCATGTGGCTCCGGTGGCATTGAGATGGCAGAGAGGGCCATTAAGAGCTTGGACTTTGATGCACTGGGATGGGTCCAAGTCATGACTCTGCTCCTGCTGCGGAAGTTATTTAGCTTCCACGCACCAGTGTTCTCACAGAGTGGGGACGATGACAGAGGTGACTGTATGGGAACAACCAGATGAGCATGCATGGTCTGCTACTGCAAGACTGTAGTTCCAGAACCCGGCCTGTGGTGTAGACACTGGTGCTGCACATGGTTTCTGACCCCAGGAATGGACACAAGTACCCACGTGCGGGGCCAGTGGCTCAGAGAACAGAACAGTCTGCGGAAGCACAGTCCCATCAGTGACGCCAGCAGCAGGGTTAGTTCAGAAACTGGCCATGAGTCGAGAACTCAGTGTCTGGAATGTGGGCCCTTCTGATAGGAAGCTGGAGACCAGCGACGGACGAGGTTAAGTTCCACCTGAGTCTGTTGCCCAAACTCCCCTAGATGCTGTGCCGGGGCGAGGCTTTCCCACACGCTGCCAGGCCACCGAGGGGCAGCATGGGGGCTGGAGGGGGGACGTCCACTCCCTCGGCCTGGCTGGGTGCAGGACACTCAGAACAGAGGTGACCCAGACAACCATCCACTCTGTCCTTGTTGCTGCCCTTTGTGGGGAGACCAGGCACAGCTGCCAGGGGCAGCTACTTCAGCAGGGGGCAGCAGCGACTGTCATCTTATTTTGGTGGTACTGGAGCAGGAACCCTTGACCACTGAGCACTTGCCCCAGCCTTTTCGTTCGTTTATTTATTTATATATTTATTTATTTATTGGTATTAGGGGGTTGGACCCAAGGACGCTTAACCATTGAGCCAGATCGCCAGCCCTTTTTATTTTTAATTTTAGACAGGTTCTAGTTAAGTTGCTCAGGGCCTCACCAAGTTCCCGAGGCTGGCTTTGAACTTGCAATCCTCCTGCCTCAGCCTCCCGAGCCACCGTGTGTGCCACCGCTTCCAGTTCAGGCTCAGTGATAGAGTGATCCCGGGTTCAATTCCCAGAATTGCAAAAAGCAAAAAAAGAAGTGTTAAAACTCCAACCTTAAGGCCAGAATGTGTTTTTCACCGCACTATGGTCTTCAAGACTCCTTGCAGGAATTCTAGGAATGGGAATAGTACTAGTGCTACATGTGGGGACAGTTGCCCTGAAGGAGACTGGACTTCAGCCAAGTCTCAGGCAGGGGCGGCCTCCCATCGGCTAGGCGGGAGAAGGAGGCTGGCTCCCAGGTCCAGGCTCCCTGGGAGTGGGCAGGGGAGTATTCCCTTTCCCTTCTGAAACCTGGGGACCACACAGTGACAGACCTGCACCCGGAGTTTCGATCTGTAGTTCTAAAGGTATGAAGTGACGTATTTCTTCTGTACTACTGGGGTGTGCTTGGGCTAAGAGGGAATAATGAAACAGTAGAGGGAAGACCACAAGCGGGAGGGTTGGGAAAGGGCTAAGGAAGGCAGCTTGAGCAACAGGCAGTGGTGGAAGGACCTTGAGCTCCCATCTCGGCAGCCAGGTTGGGGCCAGAAGCTGCTAGGAGGTACTTAAGTGGGTGGTGGGAAAAGGTGGTATCAGGGATCTGGTGGGGATAGAGGAGGAGGAATGTCCTAATAGTCCCGCAGAGCAGGCTGGACCAGAGTCGCAGACTTATGGATCAGACCATGGCACGCTTCATGTTTCACAACCGGCTCATCAGAAAAATGCAGATGTGTAATGTGTAATGTACGTGTGTGTGTGTGTGTGTGTGTGTGTGTGTATTCATGGAGAAACAAATTATCATAAGTTGCACTGATATCAAGATGCAAAGCACATAATCTAGAAATAAAAACACAATACACAAAACTCCTTATTGTCAATTCCCTACGACCGATTCTCACAGAATGACTTTGCTGATTTTTCCTGAACCCTGGTATCCACAGCCCACCTATGGATGTGGTCGGCAAATGAGAGAAGTCCCATCCCATGAAGTTGGTTTATGCCTTCATTTTCCTGATCAGATGAACGTGAAATGCAGAAAACAGAAAACAAGACCTGCTGGAGCTTCACTGGTCAGTGACTGAGCGACCTCTCTGCTCACCAGGCACTAGTTCTCCCACACTGGAGCAGAGTTTCCTCATTTACTGGTGTCCCATGACACCACCTCTTCTCCTCACCTTCTGCCTAAAAGATTGGCTTCCACCTGCCCCAACATGGCGGCCAACTCTGCTTAAGTTCAGTGGTCACACTTTTAGGTTCAAAATGTGCTAGTAACTACCTCCGTCACTTTCTAAAGTCTAGATCAAGGCCTGGCAAACTGCAGCACTCGGGACAAATCTGGTTATTCTTTAGTTATAGGTGGACACAATATCTTTATTTTCTATTTATGTCGTGCTGAGGATCGAACCCAGTGCCTCACGCACACTAGGTGAGCGCTCTACCTCTGAGCCACAATCCCAGCCCCCTGTTTTGTTTTTTTTTAAATAAAGTTTTATTGCAACACAGCCACACCCATTCATTTACATATTCCCTGAGACTGTTTTGCAGCAGGGTTGGGCAGTTTCAATGAGACCACAAAGCCTGGAAAGCTGAAAATACCCTCAAGTCCCTCCTGGGAAAAGTTTGCCAACCTCAGCTTCAGGGAATCGACAAAGCAATAGGCCACACCTTTGTTTGTACTGTTTACTGAGTCCATGGTGTAAACAGTCCCACCATGGCCAGTGTCAGGCCATCAGCATCTGTAGATAGGAACAGAGGCCGCAGCACAAGCACGCGGTTCTACAGTATTTCTGTGACTTTCATGTGATAGAGGTGAGCTACCTCCAGCACCCAGCGTGGAGCATTAATGTAATTAATGAGGATTAACACAAAATAGAAGTTAATGTTTAGTAATGGTGGTATCTAACCATCAGCTCACAAAATTCCCTAACAAGTGGGTCTTCCCAGCTGATTCCAGGATACCACTGGGCAGAAGAGAGAGAGAGGAGCCACAGGGTAAGGAGAATGTTGGTGTTCCTGGGACCTCTGAGCAGCTCAGCTGCCCTGGCAGAGTGGCCACAGGAGCTATAGTGGTTGACTACAATTCTGACGTGACAGTTTTCCCCCTTTGAAAAAGCAGCCGACAGTCACAAACTAAAGTCAGAACTAGTTCAGAGATGCCTGCTCCTAGAGGAGACCCAGGGACGGACTTGATTACGACCCATGTGGTGCCGGGGTGGCCCCACAGTCCCAGGAAGTTCTGCTAATCCTCAGCCCCCGCACAGAGATGGCCAAAGGGGGAAGCTAAACTAGGAGCAGGGAGGGAAGAGTGCGGTTAGAGCAGGTGACTGATAAGGCTGGGGGTGTCTGGGCTGGGCCTGCCTAGCCGGCTACACCCTGAGCAGATAGATCCCTGCTCCGAGGGAGAACCCAGGCTTCTCCCAGAATCACCTGGGCCCTTGGTTCGTGTCTGCCTAGCCAGGCTGCACGGCTTCCTCCCCTATCGGAGAGTTACTGGTTGAACTGCGTGTCCCTGAAATTCATCTGTTGCAAGTCCTAACCCTCAGGACCTGGGAACGTGACTGTGTTCGGAGATAAAATTTTTCAAGAGTCAATTAAGTTAAAATGAGGTCACCAGAGTGGGTCCTAATCCAGTAGGGTTGGGTCTTCACAGGAAGAGATCAGGACATGACAACTAGGTGAGGACACTTGGAGAAGATGCCATCCATAAGCCAAGGAGAGAGGCCTCAGGAGGAGCCAGCCCTGCCCACGCCTCGTCCTGGACTTTCGTCCCCCAGAGCTGTGAAAGAGGAAATTGTTGCTGCTTGAGCCACCCAGTCACCGCAGCCTGAGCTGATTAGCACAAGCGGCTTCCAACAAACACGGGGGACAGAGCTGTGGGCTCCTAGTCCCCGGGAACCCCAAACCCAAAGGACTGGTGGTGCTGGTCAGGGACCCAGGTGACCTGGGGAGGGGACCTTCTGGGAACTCAGTGTCCTTTCTGTCATAAGTGTCCTGCAGGGAAGTGGAACTGGACTTGCCACGCAGGATTAGCTTCGAGGTGAGCAAACGGCCTCCTACCCTTGAAGTTCCTGGCATCTGTCGTCTGAGGACAGGTAGCCGTAGCCTCCGGAAGAGCCAGCTCCGGGCTCCCGACAACCCCCGTCCAGAGCCTGGTCCCTCCAGACCCCAGCTCTGGCCGTGAGAGCGTCACGTGGCCCCTGACCTCTCCCACCAGTCAGGGTTGGGGGACACCCCCTCACTTCATGTAAAGACGGGAGCTGCCCACCGCTTTCCAGAGATTGCTTCAATCCCTGGCCCTGCCTCGGGTCCCACAAAGGGCTGAGCTCTGAGGGCTGGAGACCCTGCGCCTCTCCCTCACCTCAAACCCCACTCCTCCTTCAAATTCTGGAGG